GAAAGCAGTCGCTCTCAGTTCCATTAGCTAATTCTATGGCCACTGGTGCCCATGTGCAGTCCCAGATGAGATTCGGCGACAGCCTGCCCCTGCCTGCTCTGAAATGGAGTCATCACCCCTGCTCTTCAGCCATGGCTCTTTGTAAGATGTTAGATCAATGTTTGCTGCCTGGCTCCCTCCTAGAATTCTACCATGATGCCTTGTGAAGAAGAGACACTTTGCCAATGGGATGCTTGTTATATGCTGCTTTTAGGTGTAGTCAAGAGTCAGTTTATCTATCAGTCTAAAAAATGTGGGAATTTCTTGATTTGAGCCCTATCTCTCTCTCTACTACAGCCATATCTTGTCATACATATTGACATAAATGCACACTTGATACACTGGATATGTTTCTGCTCATCTCTCTATATCTGTTTATAATATCTCTATCTATCTACTTTATGCACTTGTTCCCCAAAACTCTACGGCAAGGGTATCAATCTTGAAGCCCCACAGAGCCCAGGTGAATAATATAAATGAGCAAGGGGCCAATGTGAATACATGTGCAGACTCACGAATTGGCTGGAGGATGTAGCCACATCTAGGGCTCGGCAGATTTTTGTGTTGAAATGCAAGCCCAATATTGCTGGAAGCTTCTGTCTTTCGAGAGAAGTCAGAAATCCATACAGGTAGTCCTTGACTTATGACAGGGTTCCATTCCAACGACTCTGTGGTAAGTCAGTTCTGATGTAAACTGAATACCTCATTTTTTTTTTTTTTAGTTTTCATTATTATTGTCTTTTATTATCAGTATCTTTATAAATCCTATCTTTATTTGTCTTTGGGTTGGAAACATTGCATATAAACTTACAGATATATTTTAATGCATACATACATACTACATAAAAAAATACACAAATCATCAAAATTTACTCCGATGATGAAGGAGAGTTGGATAATATTGGCATTTTGTCAATTGCAGTAATAACTCCACTTACAGAAGGTCCTGGATCATCTGGATTATCCCTAGGAATGGGGATGGCATTTCTAGTCAAAAAATTAGTGACAGTTGTCTGTATGATCCTTTTCTTTGTTCTTCATATATTTTGTGGTAACTACTCACTGCTTCCTGAATCTGCCTATTGACTTTAGCAAAGCGATCAGCATTTAGGTCATGTTTTCAAGCAACTGAAGCCACTGATTTAGTTTAGAAAAAAAATTCCAGCTAATCCTTTCACTGTAATTTTTTTTGACTTCTTTCCTTCCTCTTCCCCATTATTATTTTTTCTTCTTCAGTATTTCTTTCCTCTTCAAAATCCATTGAGTCCTGATCTATCAATTCCCCTTCTTTGTCATCTATGAGCTGTTCCACATCGGTGATATCAAGTTCTAAATTCAGCATTCTTGCCATATGCACAATTTTCCCAAAAATCTCTGCCATCATATTAACCTGATCAAATGTTTGGAGCATGTTCACTTAACTCAGCAATTTTTTTCTGTATCTCCTGCATGCGTTTTCCTTTAACTTCCTCCCAGGAAGATGCAGTGTTCCAGATACACTGATAGTTTTAAGTGCAGTTCTTCATAACTCGAATACACCGTAAATCGGGGACTACCTGTATTTTTATGAGAAATTTCTCAATTTAAAAATGCTGGCTAAAATGCCTTTAACACGCAGTGCATATCAAATAACCTGTATCTTGCAAGCTGGGCTGCTGTGGTCTTTTGATTCCCAGGATCTAACACACTGTGGTAGCAGAATAGGCTTAAATAAATGTTGAACAGACACGTCAATCTTGGTGAGTGTCCAAGCCTTCAGTCTCTTGCCTGGGACCCCAAAGCTCGGAAGGGCCTGAGACCTTCTGAGTGATGAAGAATCTGGAGACTGGTGCAAACAGGAAACTGTAAGGTCTGTAAGCCCAGAAGCCACGCATGTCCAAGGCCAGAAAGTGGAGGGCAGACACGTTATGCTATTTTATATTCCTGATGATTCATTTGTGAATGTGGGTAAATCAGTTAACCCTAATCCATATCATTGTGTCAAAAAACCTAAAGCAAACCCATTGCCATTAAGTCGCTTCTGACTCGTAGACCCTATAGGACAGAATAGAACTGCCCATAGGGTTTCCAAGGCTGTAATCCTTTTGGAAGCAGATTGCCACATCTTTCTGGTGGTTTCGAACTGGTGACCTTTCAGTTAGCAGCCAAGCTCTTAACAACTTCACCATCAGGGCTCCTTAATCCTAATCCATATCAACACATTAGGATTACTTAATTAACATTGAGAGTGATAGCAGTAACTTTGATGGAGTAAGTTCAATTTTTATTCCTTGCTTGACTAAGGTATAAAATTGGCAAGCCCAACAGTGTACACCAGGTGTCAGAAAACTGTCTCATGGGCCAAATCTTGCCTGCTGCCTGTTTTTGCAAATAAAGTTTAATTGGAGGACAGCCATATTCCTTCGTTTATGTATTATCTGTGGCTGCTTTTGCGCTCCAACAGTGGAGTTGAGTCTTTGCAACCCTATGGCCTGCAGAGCCTAAAATATTTACAGAAGAATTTCTGACTCCTGGTTGAGATGCTCTTCAGAGGAAATAATTGTTCAAGCTTGGCTGACCTGCCATGATGGTGATGATGGCTGTGATGGTTGATTTTATGTGTCAGCTTGGCTAGGCCCTGGTTCCCAGCAGTTTTTCCGAACATAAGACTAGTTCCTGTTCCATAATTTAATACAATGTAATACAACCACCGTCCATAACGTAATGTGATGCAATCAATCAATCAGTTGAAAGGGGAGTTCCTTAGGGTGTGATCTGCCTTCAGATTATAAATAGATATTTTGGCAGAACTCTTTCTCTCGACTCCGTACTCTTCTCGTTGCCTGATGGGATCTGTAGATATTGGGACACGAGCCAGTGGAAGTCCCCAGCCTGCCGCCTGAACTACAGATAGTGGACTTGCCAGCCTCCATAACTGTGTGAGCCAATCCCAGAAGTAAATCTCTTTCTCTCTCTTACTCTCTCTCTCTCTCTGTATATATACTTCTCACTGATTCTATTTCTCTAGAGAACCTTTGACTAAGACAAAGGTGATGATGATGATAAAGATATCATTTTTTGAGCACCTGCTTATATTCTAGGCACAGTGCTAAGATTATATATATATTATTTTGTTTTATCTTCACTACCTTGTAAGTTAGAGACTATTATTATTCTCATTTTATAAGTGAGAAAACAGATTCAGAGATGTCAAGTGACTTGTCCAAGGTCACAAGACTATAAATGGTAGAGCTGGGATTTAAGTCCAGTTCTGTCTGCCTCCAAATTTCACTTTATTAACCATACCTTTGCACGTGAACCTGGACAGATTTCTAGTTTTAGAAATTTGAAGACAAACACCATCAGCTAAGAGAAAGAGTGAGCACTAAAGACGGCAGAGGTGGTTAAGTGGGCACCAGAGGTTGAATCCATCCAGGTGTGAGACCAAATGATACCTCTTGGTGCCGTAAATTCAATCTTTTAAACAAAGAACTGTGTACCCTTCATTCAAGGGTAGCATAGGGATTATGAGTGTATCCTCAAACCTTCACTTCTGATTCTTCAGGGAGCAAGATTGATTGAATGTATTGGGATTCAAAAATTTGGCCAAGTAGGAATGTCGCCTAGGTGGGGCTGGAAACGGGGAGTGGTCAGACAGAGGGGTCTAGGGGAGCTGCGAAGACTATGCTTGGGTATGTGAAACCACCCAGGAAAAGCACTTGGTATGTTGCAGACTGGTCTACAAATATTGATTCATGTTGTGGTTGTCATTGATGTTATTAGTTTCGGTGGTGGTGGCGGCGGGAATTGCATGCAAAGGAGACTATAGCCAGTGGAGCAGAAACAGAAGCATCAGTTAAGGAAACGGTCAGTAGTTGAAGGGGCAGAGAAGGACTAGCAGAGTTCAGTCAAAGACAGCAGAGAAGTTGACAAGAGAGATAGCTGAAGGGTTGTCCTGTAATTTAGCTGGAGTGGCAAAAAATTACCAACTACTTCAACTAGATAGCAATACCAGAGCATGCATGGGCATAAAGGCATTAGAAAATGGGCAACTTTATAAATCCCAGCCTGACAGAGCTTTCATTCTAAAGGAGATCTTTCACAGTCCAAACGGACTGCTTCCAGAAGAGCCCTAGGTAAAATCATTCAGTAGACAAACTTGTTCTCAGAGCCTTTCCCCTCCTGCGGTCGTTCCCCACAGACCCCAGACACATGGCCTTGGGTAGGTTATTTGATAATTATTTGGGTAAGTCATGTGATAATTATTTACCATTGGGCATTTTACAGATTGCAAATTGCTTTCACATACATACTCTTACAATACATGGAGTAGACATGGCTTGTTTTTCCAATTTCATTGTATTTTTTACATTTTGATTTATCTTAAACCACCAAACTAAACCCTTTGCCGTCGAGTTGATGCTGACTTATCAAGACCTATAGAACAGAGTAGATCTTAGCAGTGGCCATTTAAGCAGCGGATATTCCTCTTATTGACTGCCCAGAAAATCTTTTCATTCATCTTGTGGTCAGAAGTCTTGGTCAAATTTTTTTTTTAATTAAAATATTTCATTGTGGTTTTGGTGAAAATTTACACAGCAAATTAGGTTTCCATTTAACAATTTCTACACAATTTGTTCAGTGACATTGGTCACATTTTTTCGCTGTGTGAACTTTCTCATTATTTCCATTATGGTTGTTCTGTTTCCAGTAATCTAGTTTCCCTGCCCCCTTGCCTTCTTGTCTTTGCTTTTGAGTAAATGCTGACCATTTGATATTACAGAGATGATTTTTTAAAGGCGCATAGTACTCACAGATGATAAAACCAAACCCAGTGCCATCGAGTCAATTTGACTCATAGCGACCCCATAGGACAGGGTAGAACTGCCCCATAGGGTTTCCAAAGAGCAGCTGGTGGATTCGAACTGCTGACCTTTTGGTTAGCAGCCGAGCTCTTAACCACTACGCCACCAGGGCTCCAAAAAAACAGGGAATGCTTTACGAATTTGCAAGTCATCTGTGCGCAGGGGCCATGCTAACTTTCTCTGTATCGTTCCAGTTTTTAGTATATGTGCTTATTTTATGAGAAATATATTTTTTAAGTGAACTTTTGGCACCTAAAATTTGAATAGCAACTGTCTGATAGGGGAAAGGTTGGCAGAAGTGGATCATTTTCATAAGTTCTTAAAAACATCAAGAAAAATGCTCTGCAGCAGATAAAACCTAGAATTCACCAGAATATCTTACTAAATAGAAGGTTATTAACAAGAGGAAGCAAAGGATTTCACAGATAATTCAGAAAACTAATTGGGACTCCCAGGTAATAACTTAGCACCTCTCTGATAAAAAAAAAAAAAAAAAAAGAAAGAAAGAGAAAAGAAAAAAAAGCAAGCAGGAAGTAAAATGGTATCAGAAAGAAAATTTAGATTAAAGTAACCTGTAAAAGCTTTTGATGCAATAATGTCCTAGGGTGAGCCATCTCTGGGGGCCATTAAATCTTCAAATATGCTTTGGACTTTAAAGTCATCCTAATGGTAAGATTTAATTTTTAAAAATTCTGTTTGTAGAAAAACACCAGGCCCACACTAAGTGGTAATTCACTGCTACAAGGGATTGAAGGAAGTCGCCAGGTTGTACCTCCGTGATTGTATGTCTAGCTTTAAATGGTACCATTTTGAAAAATTAGTCATGATTATGAAGTGATTAGTTTACGTGCATGATTTATTTAAACCTGGTGCAGTGCTATTCAGCAGGGTGACCTACATATCATACACAGATTATTTGCCAAGTGCTAGACGAGTGCTAGGCTACCAGCATCTCCACACGGCTGCCTGCTATACAGACTCTGGATGATAAAGGGAGATATGACATAAATTCAGTTTTCTCACTGTGGAGATACAATCAGACAACAGAGGGAGTATGAGAGTACTGGGTGAATAGTTACATATAGTCAGTATCATTGGGTTTACAGTCTCCATAACTGGAAGTGCCAGAAGAGATGGGTAGAGGGCTAAATAAATAAAAAGAAACAAACCATCCCGGTCTTCTAGGTCGCTAGGTATGTCCACGGACATTCATGCTGACAGCAGAAGGTGAGCAGAAGTGAGGCGTGCTACTTCTAGGCCTCTCCTGGTCTCTGGCCTGACAGAGAGGAGCACCAGCCCCTTGCAAGCTGCATGTTGAAGTTGGAAGAACCACACAGAAGAGGTCAGGGTCCCTGAGTAGAGGACAGCTGCCTGATGGTTAGGAATATCCATTTTGGACATGAGCACATTTGGGCCGTTAAACTTTCTGAGGTTTGCTTGTGACAGTAGCTAGTTGACCTTAACATTTACACAGTGCCACCTCTCATCCTCACACACATTGTTAAGATAGAGACACAGATAGATAGATAGATAACATAACAAAAACCATTCGATGTCGAGTCTATTCCAACTAATGGCAGCCCCATGTGTATCAGAGTAGAACTGAACTTTATAGAGTTTTTGATGGCTGATTTTTTGGAAGCAGATTGTCAGGCCTTTCTTCTGAGGCACCTCTGGGTAGACTCAAACTGCCAACCTTTCAGTTAGCAGCCAATCATGTTAATAGTTTGCACCACCCAGGAACTCCAGGTAGATAGATAACTGCTCTTGAGTTGACTCCGACTCATGGTGACCTTTATGTACAACAGAACGAAACATTGCCTGGTTCTGCATTATCCTCACCGTCATCAGCATGTTCGAGTCCATTGTTTTAATTGTGTCAATCCATCTCACCAAAGGTCTCCCTCAACTGCTACTTCACCAAACATGATGTCCTCCTCTAGCAACCTCCTGATGACATGGCCAAAGCAAGCGAGTTGGACAATATTCTGTTGTGACCCATAAGGTTTTCAATTGGCTAAATTTCATAAGTAAATTTCCAGGCCTTTCTTCCTAGTCTGTCTTAGTCTGGAAGGTCCGCTAAAACCTTTCCAACCATGGGTGAGCCTGCTGGTATTTGAAATACTGGTGGCATAACTTCCAACATCACAGCAACATAGAAGACACAACAGCACAAGTGAACAGATGGTGGTGGCTATACCCATTGCTGTCGAGTTGATTTCAACTCATAGTGACCCTATAGGAGAGAGTAGAACTGCCCCATAGGGCTTCCGAGGAGCGACTGGTGGATTTGAACTGCCAACCTTTGGGTTAACAGCCAAACACTTAATCACTGCACCACGAGAGCTCCGTGGTGGCTACAACAACAATGACAAAAAGTTGCCAATGAGTCTATGGTTGGGTATAAATAGGGTCCTATAATACATCGGTTCATGGGCTCTGAGATTCCCACATTGTTAGCATACAATAGGTTCCTAACAAATGTCAAAAATTAGTGGCCAGCCAGCCTTTTATTTCCTGTGAGGATAGATAATGGAGATTCCTGGGATTTCCTTCTGGAGGTTTTTAAGCCTCTATAAATTTTTACTTTTTTTGTATGGCAAAGAGCCTCTTTAGTGTGCCTTTCTGTGAAGATATAAAACCAGGTCAAAACCAGATAAGCAGGTATAATTAGCTTCTTTATACCCACGCCCTGCCGTCGACCCTCAGGAGGACAAAGTTCTTGAGAGGTTCCTCAAGCCTTCTAGGTCGAATCACCTGGGTGTGTGGCTCCCCCTAGGCTCACCCTCATATCCTCATAGGCAATAGTTGCTACTGCTGCTGGGCAGTGGGTTTATGGGCATTTCTAAATTTTCTACAGTAAACATGTATTCTTTATCCAATAAGAAAAAAGGTCTGAGCTAAAATTCACAACATACTAAGTTGTAATTACGTTTACTAAGACTTTATTAACTCCATATTTTTTAATAGTTTGGATAAAATTTACCTGAGCTGAAGTTCATTAAGTTCCCTGGGTGGCACAAATGGTTTGCGCTCGACTGCTAACCTAAAGGTTGGCGGTTTGAACCCACACAGCGGCACCGTGGAGGAAAGACCTGGCAACCTGCTTCCATAAAGACTACAGCCAAGAAAACTCTGGTGTAGTTGTACTCTGTAACACATGGGGTCGTCATGAGTCAGAACTGACTCGACAGTAACAGGTTTTGTTATCTCCGTTGCCATAAAATCCACCCATTTAAAGTGTACAATTCATTGGATTTCAGTACATTCACAGAGTTGTGCAGCCACCATCACGCTGAATTTTAGAACAAACTTTTATTTTTAAAATCAAAAGTAGAGAATTGCATGTTCTGAAACCTTAGCTAGCTTTGGGAACACATCTGTTCTTCAGGGCAGTGCATCTCTGACCACACTTTCCTCTCTCCAGAGCCTCTATTGCTGAGGGCCCAGGAAGGCTCAGCAGGCGCAAGCTCTTCCAGACAGCTCCGCTGTGGCGCTGCGAGGCAGCCAGCTGTTCTCCTCACGCCCTCAGGCCCCAACTGACCGCATTCTGAAAGAAAGGGAAGGCTGGACACTGCAGAGGGCCATCGCCTTTTGCCCCCTTGGTCAGCAGCACACAGAGGTCCCAGTATATCTTCACTCTACTTTTACTCCTTAAAGGTGGGACAATAGAAAAATTCTTTAATGCTACTCAGACTGGCCTGTAGAGGGCAGACGATTCCCCAGGGAAAGCAGGGATGGCGACCCACATTTCCCAAAGCCACCTCCACAGTTTATCAGGAGGAATTCCTTTCTAGCGTTTTCTGTTCATGGGTCCCTTCCACGTTCGCTGCAGGTCATCCCAGTTCTGCAAATCTGCGTGGGGGTTTGTATTCTTTCTGGAAAGAAATCCCTCGAAGATGGTTGGTTTTTTTTTTTTTTTTCTTTTTCCTGGCTACCTCAGGTTTATGAGGAGCCCCACTGGGACTGCTCAGCACTGGAGGTGATTGGCCCCAGGCTCTCACTGCCCCAGCTTCCCCAAGGCTGAGAAGATCCTGCCTCACAGCAAATACCCGGACCCACTGACGCTCTCCGCTCTGCAGGTTTTGACCCATGTACTAGTTACTTGTTGTTATTGAGTTGACTCTGACTCGAGTTGACCCTGACTCACAGTGACCTTGACTCACGGAGACCCCAACTCATGTTGACCCCATGTGTGTCAGAATAGAATTGTGCTTTGTAGGGTTTTCAGTGGCTGATTTTTTGGAAGTAGATCACCAAGCCTTTCTTTTCAGGTGCCTCTGTGTGGATTAGAATAGACAACCTTTTGGTTGGCAGCCGAGTGGGGTAACCGTTCACACTACCCATGTAGCTAAGTGCTATGTGGTGGGCAGATACTCTAGGTGTATGTAGTAGGATGAAGTCTATTAAAGACACTCATCATTTCCTCTCTGCTCATGCCCCTTTAGAGAACCCGCCCCTTTGCAGCTCTAGAATGGGTGACACTGTACCTCACAACCCCTTGGCCTCAGCTGACTAAAATCGCAATGCACACATAATATAAGCTGGGTGGCCAAATTATCTGTAAAACTAGAATTAGGTTAGGACACTGGAAGCAGTCAGCCAGCTGTGGGGAGCTGAGTTGGACAATCACGTCCTCGATTTAGGGACTGAGGCTGCCACTTGCTGTAAGCTGGGCTGAGGAAGCGAGTCAGAAAATAAAGGGGAGAATGCAGCAAGATGCAGAGCTCAGCAGAGGGTAGGGAGGGAGAGAGGGCATTGGTGGTTCAGGGGTAGAATTCTCCCCTTCCATGCGAGAGACCTGGGTTCAGTTTCCAGCTAATGTACCTCAGGTGCAGCCACCACCCATCTGTCAGTGGAGGCTTGTGTGTTGCTATGATGCTGAACACATTTCAGCAGAGCTTCCAGACTAAGACAGACTAGTAAGAAAGACCTGGGAATCTACTTCTGAAAATCAGCCATTGAAAACTCTATGGATCACAATGGTCCAAACTGCAGCTGATTATGGGGAGAGAGCAGGACTCGGCAGCGTTTCATTCCACTGTGTCGTGAGTTGGGGGCTGACGTGACGGCAGCTAACAGCAGCAGCAGCAGGGTGGGAGAGGCAGAAAGGGAGGGAAATGCTGCCCGGCTGATCATCCTGCATTTTACTTTTGTGAAATTCAACTCTGTCATTATAATAAAAGTTTTCTTCACTTGAGGTGGTTTGGGCGGGTTTTCACGCC